TCTCTTTGAACCATTTAAATTGATTAAGTTTTTATTTTTGGTATTATAATTTGTATGCTTTGATTGATGTAGGTGACTGTATCTATGAGACTTATGTAATTTTGTATGAACATTGTAAAATGGGCTATTTCCATATCCTGGCTCACCCCAATCCATCCGCGCCACTTGCACTCGTCACAGATGCCTCCACGTCCGTCATGGGTGCCGTGCTACAGCAACGCGTCAAGTACGCATGGCAGCCCCTGACATTCTTCTCAAGGAAACTCAACCCGGCCCAACAAAAATGCAGTGTGTATGACCGCGAGCTGCTGCCCATCTATGAGGCCGTAAGGCACCTTCGCCACATGCTGGAAGCACGCCACTTCAGCATCTTCACAGACCACAAACCTATCACCTATGCTTTCCAGCAGAAAAGGGACAAATGCTCACCAAGGCAATTCAACCACCTGGATTTCATAGCACAATTCACGACCGACATCTGACACATCTCTGGACAGGACAATGTTGTTGCCGACACGCTCTCCCGCGTCGAGTCTGTCACTGCGCCACCATCCTACAACGCATTGGCCGCATCGCAGGACAGCGACGATGAGCTCCAATCACTTCGGCAGTCAAACACCGCTTTGTGGCTCGAAAAGCTACCAATCCCCAGTACCACGGTGTCCATCTACTGCGATACCTCTGCTGGGAAACCTCGGCCATACATCCCAGCTCCTCTACAGTTCGAAGTGTTCCAGTCCACCCATAATCTGTCGCACACAGGGACCAAAGCAACGGCAAAACTGGTCGCACAGCGTTTTGTGTGGCCAGGCATGCAGAAGAATTGCCGCACCTGGGCACGTGCTTGTCAATCCTGCCAGGGCTCCAAAGTCTCCCGCCATACAGTGACTCCATTGGGCGACTTTACACCGCCGGCAGGCAGATTTCTTCACGTCCACATAGACCTTGTTCGACCCCTTCCAACGTCAGGAGGCTACACATACTGCCTCACTGCAGATGACTGTTTCACCTGTTGGCCAGAAGCCATCCCCATCCCAGACATCACAGCCGATACAGTGGCACGAGCCCTACTGACCGGCTGGATATTCTGTTTCGGTTGCCCCACAGACCATCACCACCGACCAGGGACGTCAGTTTGAATCTCAACTCTTCCACTCCCTGGCCAAG